AAGATTATTGAGTCCTTTCTTTCCAATCGTAGTATAAAAGTTGTCCTCGATGGACAACACTCTTCTTCACATCCTGTAACTTCAGGGGTTCCTCAAGGTTCAATCCTTGGCCCTATACTTTTTTTAATTTACATTAACGATCTTCCAGATTTTCTCACATCTAAGGTGGCATTATTCGCTGACGACACTACCATTTATTCTTGTCATGATAAGAAGCCTACACTCTCTGATTGCTTGGAGGGGGTATCTGAGCTTGAAAAGGATCTCACTTCTGCTACAGCATGGGGCTTACAGTGGCTGGTAAACTTTAATTCAGATAAAACTCAATTTTATTGGGCCAATCGTTATCGTAATAATTTAGATCTTCCTATATTTATGAATGGTAATGTACTAGATGAGTCATCTACCATTCATCTTCTAGGATTAACTCTTACTTCTAATCTTTCTTTTAAACTGTATATCAAATCCATTGCAAAATTAGCATCTGCTAAGGTTGCATCTCTTTATCGAGCTCGACACTTTCTTACTCCAGATTCTATTCTCTATCTCTATAAATCTCAAATCCGTCCCTGTATGGAATACTATTGCCACATCTGGGGTGGATCTTCTAATGATGCTCTTTCTCTTTTAGACAAGGTGCAAAAACGAATTGTAAACATAGTTGGACCTGCTCTGGCAGCCAATCTCCAACCTTTGTCACATCGTCGTAATGTTGCTTCTCTTTCTCTTTTCTACAAATACTATAATGGGCACTGCTCTAAAGAGCTAGCGTCCCTTGTGCCATCTACTAAAATTCATTCTCGTGTTACTCGCCATTCAATTAAGTCTCATCCTTTTTCTGTGACTGTTCCTAAGTGCTTTAAAAACTCTTATTCTTCTAGTTTTTTTCCTCGAACATCAGTTCTTTGGAATTTGCTTCCTTCATCTTGCTTTCCTGATTCATATAATTTGCAATCTTTTAAGTCATCAGTCAATCGTCATCTTGCTCTACAGATTTAGTCTTTTCTCTTCCAGTAACTTCCAACTCTTATAGTGGTTGCTTGCAGCCTTGTTGGAAGTGAAGATGTTAAAAAAAAAAAAAATATATATATATATATATATATATATATATATATATATATATATATATATTATTCTTGATTTGAATTTATTATAAATCTAAAATTTCAATTAAAAGTGTATATATATATATATATATATATATATATATATATATATATATATATATATATATATATATATATATATATATATATATATATATATATATATATATATTTATATATATATATATATATATATATATATATATATATATATATATATATATATATATATATATATATATATAAATATATATATATATATATACATATATATATATATATATATATATATATATATATATATGTATATATATATATATATATATATATATATATATATATATATATATATATATATATATATATATATATATATCAGGGCTTGTGACGAATAAAATCGTCAAGCGTGTTATATCGCGCTTGTAAAATTAAAATATGTTTTCATCGAGCGTGATTATGTGCGCTCAACATCAACGAGCGCGATCATGAAAATTGCTGAAGAAGATCTTTTTTTATTTGTTACATCATTCTTTCGTCGACAAATGTTATAATTAGTATCACACTCATGAATTAACACTCTTGTATATTGTCAGATCGGGATTTTTTTTATAATTATTTATGTTATAAAAAAAAATATATCAAATAAAAACGCAACTTCTTGTTGATTTAGTATTGAAGTATAATTTAGTGACTTTGTTACAATTTAGTGCCTTTTTTTGTTTCGTAGTTTTGATATATGTATTTAAAAATAGTTTTTATATTTCTTGATATTTTTTATTCAAATTAATGTATTTCTAAAATTTCATTTTTTAAATTACGATTTTTTTGTTTAAAAAAAATAACACAAGAAAGTTTGAAAATCTTTTTTTTTTAAACTATTTATTATAGGTTAAATAACAGATTTTCCCCTCAACTGTTGTCATTGGTGTTTCCTCTTCTACATTTTCGAAACTGAATGCAGCTAATTCGTCACTCATATCTGGTAACTTCAGTTCTAAAGCCTATTACCTCTTGAACTTTCCATTTAATAAATGTTGACAGCATTACTTTGTTTCCTTTTGGAATTTCATTGATTGCGGACATTCTAAACAACAGAATAGTTTTAAATTTGAGTTGAAATAAATAATAGTTAATAAAAAACTTATACTATAAACAAAAACTTATTTAAAAAATTACTGAATCATTATTATTTATTTTTATTATGAATGATGTATGGAATATTACAAACAATAAATCAAATAAATCTTACTTGATGTTTTCACAAGATTAAAAATATTCTGCAGTTTCAATTTTCTTATAATGATTTACTAATTTTTTATTATTTTATTTTTGCATTTTTGTATTTGCATTGAATTTCTACATGCACATTCCATCAATGAAATTAGTGGTATTAACGACCTCAAACTGCTCATTCATTAGGTTAGTGCAAAAAAGAACGACGTAGTGCTTTTTTTATTTTATATTATATTAGTGCTTCGATAATATAAAATCTTTATTAAAAAATCTTTTTTTCATATTTTATGAAAATAAAAAAAAAGTTATTATTTGTTTTGCCCCGAACTCTTAGACGAGCGTTATTTTATACGCTCGTTTTAAGCTGAATGAGCGTTGTTTATCGCGCCTGGAACATTTCAAAATACCATTTACGGGCGCGTTTCACGAGCGGAGCGCGGTCGCGCTCGATTCATCACAAGCCCTGATATATACTTATAATTGAAATTTTAGATTTATAATAAATTTAAATCAAGAATAATATATATATATATATATATATATATATATATATATATATATATATATATATATATATATATATATATATATATATATATATTTAATTATATATAAATATATATATATATATATATATATATATATATATATATATGTATATATATATATATATATATATATATATATATATATATATATATATATATATATATATATATATATATATATATATATATATATACTTATAATTGAAATTTTAGATTTATCATAAATTCAAATCAAGAATAAGGAAATATGAGTGAAATTCAAATTCAGCAGAATCATACTAGACTTACAGTAGACAGAAATGATAATTCTATACCATTTTATTATATGTTAGTTACTCTTGGAATATGGAGACCCAAACATTCCCATATGGTATTCAAATTGTATTTTTATTTTTCTTATGTAATATTAGCTGTTGTTTTAATTTTATTGGTTTTACTGAGTATCACAAAAGGACATTTTAACACTGGTATGTTTGTTAATGGTATTTCAACGATGATTAATTTATGCTCTTCGTTTTTTTTTTGTCGTTGGTATTTCAACACTGGTCATTATGATGAACTTTTAAAACATTTTCACTCAAGTTTTCCGATGAAGTATAAATTTCTTTGTCAGTGCTACAGTTGTTTTACGTTTATTTTGTGGGTGCTTATTTTTCCTTTTTATTTTATACATTGGATTTCATTTTTCATTCGATTATATGAAAAAATTATTTGTGGTGTTGCTCTTTTTTTTGTTATGGGATGGTGGGCTTGTTGGATAAGTTTATATGTTTTTGTTTGTCATCTATTTAAAATTAAAATTGAAAATTTTCACATGGAAATGCTCAACGCATTTAATTATTCTGAACGAACATCTAAAACGGAAGAAGCTTGCGTTTTACGGTTGTTGCATCAATTTGATAGTCTAGATAAATGGCTTCGAAGTACACAAGATTGTTTCTCTAAAATCATATCATTATCTATGGTTTGTCATTTGATGAATTTGTTTGTTTTTAGTACAGCCTATATGTGTAATGATTTAGGGAAGGATTTTGATTCATGGAAGTATTACGGCCATGTTGCTTTTGATGTGTTTAGTATTTTTTCCAAACTTGTTCCTGCCGCTTATGTGTGTCAAAATCTACATAAAGTTATAGTTGGTGCTGGAGAACATTGCTATCCAGACATATACACTGGTGAAGTTCTTCGTGAAAGACTCTTGTTTTATCAGCATATAGTTTTAAGAGAACAAGATATGGGTCTATATATATTAGGTGTAAAAATCACATCGAAGTTTACTGTTGGATTGTTTGCTACAGTGACCACAGTTTTTTTAACTTTTATAAAGTATGCTATCCCATATCTTAAAAGCTACTTACGGCCTTGGAATTTATAAATTCATTATGTGAACTTTTTTACTTTTTTAATTATATTTTTATTAGGTATATTGGGTAACCTTTAAGTTATTTATATATAATAGTTTATAATTATCTAGTTGGATTTGTATTAAAAACTTGATTTTATTACTTTTTTTACATATTTTTTTTAGATGTTTGTTTTTCTTTTTTGTGTTTCTATTTTTTTTTTTTTTGATAAAATGTTTTTAAATTTATATACATTTTAGAGTTTTCTATTTAAAAAATTATTTTTTTATTTATACTAATGTTTAAATAAAGTATTTAATTGAAAAAATAAAAAAATAAAATGATTTTTTTTTCTTTGCTTACAATACATAACCCATATTTGTTTTATCACCTATATCTTTCCCATCACCTATATCACCTTTTAAATACACTTTTTATCAAACAAAGTTGGATAATATATTACCTTGGTCACACTTGGTCTGCATTCATGGTTAACTAACACTTATTTTTCTGCCTAAATGTTAAGCCAATAAAATTACCACACATGACTTTTTATAATCCACATTTAGAGTTTACATCAACAATATAAAACTTATATTTTTAAAGAGATAAAAAAAAATTGAAGGTATGCAATGCTATGTCATCCACATTTATCATTCGAAAGATATGTGCTTAAATTTCATACTTTTTTTTATTTAGTAATTCATAAAAAAAATGCTTTTTTATTATAAATTGGTTTACTTGATGATTTAAGTAAAATCTCTCCATTTTAAAAAATGGAGAGATTTTACTTAAATCATCAAGTAAACCAATTTATCCCAAAGGTTCCCGACTAGCAGACTGTTAATGATTGGCAGAAATTTTTATGTTAAAAAAAGAAAAAAATGATTTTTTAATCTAATTAATAGGGTCATTTTTTGTAAGGGTTCTTATGCTTGAGTTTTTGTTTACATTTTAATATATTTTTACATTTTTATCTAGTGACCAAGTGTCTGGAACATAAGAAAAAAATATTGAAAAATAAAAGAACTGGACAATACTGCAATGACTATAGTACTGCAGAATACTAGTGATTACTGCAATAAATTTTGGTTGAGCCAGGCGTCTATATATATTTTTTTGTTGCACGTTCTTTGTATAGCTTAACTCCTAAATAAATCGGGTCATGCTAAAATCGGATAAGTCACAAAAATTGAAAATTGAGTTAACAATGGTTTTCATGTTTCAATAGTAGGTTTTAACTGTTTATGATAAAATCAGACATGCCAGACTCTTGGTTACCCTGTAACTGGAATCAGTTGTAGAGCTGTTCATGCTAGAAGGAGTTAAGTCATTGACTTTGAAGGAGTTAAGTCATTTTAGCATAAAAAATCATCTTATGTCGTCTGTAGATGTAACTACGCAATTGACTGCAACAGATAACTGTTTTTGTTTTTATTTATTTTACTGATTTGTATAGGTTGACCTAAATAGGAATTAACTTTATATCTTTTGTTTTTAGTCTTATGTTGTTGTACTGCTATACAGTACCTAAAAACCTAAATTAACCTAAATTAGAATTAAGTTTATGTTTAACTTTATGTCTTGTGTTCTTATTCTTGTGTTTATTGTACTATATATAGCTTAACCTAAATAGGAATTAACTTTAAGTTTTGTTTTCTTAGTATTATGTTATATCATAAATAAGTTTGAAATATGGAAATAAATTCAGATGAAAGTGATGGGGTTTTTGAGAAAAATTCAGCAAAGAAAAAGAAAACCAGATCAAAGTCTTTGGAAGAGAAACATTGTAAAGGTTTCTAGAATAAAAGGTGAAGATTGTGTTAACTACCAAGGAAATACTGTACCTCAAAAGTGTACTGGCTTTCCCTGCAGGTACGTTATTTTGTATTCAATATTAGTGAGTAGTTTTACAATTTTACAATTTCATTTGTAGGTAAAAAATTTTACACAGTATAAAATAATCTTTTGTTTTTTCAGCTGCAAGAGAAACAACTGTCTTGAGACTATTAATGAAGAGGATCAAATGGATATATTAAACCATTTCCATGCCTTCAACACTAAAGATAAGCAAGATTTTTTCCTACAATCCTTGATTGATTCTCAAGAAGTAAACCAGAGACGACCCAAAAAGGATGACAGTTCTAAAAAAAAAAGTGTTGCCTTTAAGTATCATGTTATGGTGGGTTCTGATCAAATGCCGGTTTGTTTTAAAGCTTTTTTAAGTTTACATGCAGTTACTAAAAAACAAGTTGAAAGATTGCGAGCTTTGAAAATGATTGCGAAAAGCCCAGTTGATAATAGAGGACGTCATATAAAGCAAGTATTGTCTGAAGAAATCAAACTTTTTATCAGACAGCATATTGAAAGCTTTCCAACTAAAGAAAGCCACTATCTTGGAAAGCCTATATGCTATCTAGGTGCCACATTAAATGTTAAAACTATGTATAGGCTGTTTAAAGAAAAATACTTTTCAATAAAAGTTGGAGGAACAAAGTATTTCAACTACTTTAAAGAAAACTATAGTTTTTCCTTTGGAAGGTCACAAGTTGACATATGCTGCACTTGCGAGGAACTTAATATGAAATTAAGGAGTCCTCGTCTCAACGAGGCAGCAAAAAGGTGTGCTCAATCTGAACTTGATGTTCATAAATGCAAATCAAAAAAGTTTTATGATCGAATCCAAAAAGACGTCAATGACAAGGACAATAGGCAAATTTTATCATTGTGTTTTGACTTTATGCAGAACATACAGATCCCAAAAATACCAGTACAAGAAACCTTCTATCTGAGACAACTTTCAGTTAATGTTTTTTGTATTCATAACAATAAAAGTAACAAAGCACAGATTTTTGTTTACCACCAAGGTACAGCAGGCAAGGGTCCAGATGTAGTGTGTTCCCTTCTATTTAACTCCTTAATGAAAGTAGAGCAGCAGTTTACTGAACTCCACTTATTCTCAGATAATTGTTTGGGCCAAAATAAAAATCATTCATTATCTAGGCTACTCTTAGCTATGACTGATTTAAAGAAATTTGAAAAGGTTGAGCAATTCTACCCAATAAGAGGGCACTCCTTTCTACCATGTGATAGGGATTTTAGCATAATAAAGCGAGAACTAAACCGACATGATAGACCAAGTATGTGAACTTATTACGGTATTCTCCAAAAATGATAAATTTATAGTACAAAAAGTTCAATCTTCAGAAATTTTAGACTTCAAGGCATGGTGGCCGCAGTTTTATAAAAAAAGTTGTGTTTCTGATGAAACTAAAGGTAAGCAAGTTAAAAAGAACAAAAAGCAGTACTTTTCAATAAGCAAGTTCATGCACTGCACATATGATATAAAATTTCCCTCTAAGGTTATTGGACAATCTTTCATAGATTCTATAATAAATCACAGCTTTTCTTTTAGAGCAACAGGTTGCCCAAACTTATGTTTTCCATGTAAAAAAGCTTACCTGCAGGAAAAGTATCAATAAAGATTGAAAAAATGGCAGACATAAAAAAATTACAACCCTATATTCCAGTGGAGTTTGAAGACTTTTATGCTAAAATTTATATGTGGCCTACAACCAAAAAAGTTGAAGTTGAAAACGATGACTAAGTTGTCATTGCTTAATTGCTTATCTCAGACTAATAAGATTTATTTGAATATAGTATATATTTATAAAATGAGTTTCTTATAAATTAGAGTATATGCAAATATTGATTTCATTGTGTTTTTAGTAAATAACATTGTTTTTAAACACATTTATATGTTTTTTTATTCAAGTTATGCTAAAAGGAGATGTCAAACAACTTAAATGATTTTTTTTCATATGAAAGCATTGTAAATGTCATAATTCAAGTATGTACCATGGGTCATTGTCCCATAATAACTGGGGTAATAAAGAGTTCATTTACAAAAAATTGCATCTTATTGGTCAAAAATGAAGATAATGCAAAGTTTTATTTAGTTTTCTCAAAACTATGTGTTGTTGACTAATCCTCTTTTAGCATGAGCCAATTCAAATATTTAAATAATTATAAAATTTGAATAAACTAAATATTTTAGAAAATTTTATTGTTGTGTACTAATTCTTATCATGCAAAAAAGGATTGGTAAAAAAACTAGGTTAGGAAAATTCAAAAGTATCACATTTGCCTATTTTTCAAAATTCTTATTTCTTCAATATAAATTGCATAAAAATGTTGTTAATACATTTAAAAATTTCAGATTTTTCTTGTTTTTAACTTCTGATCAAAATATAGACATAGATCTGTTCTCCCCCATCCCCACCCCCACATTTTCTTTATGATTAGTTTTGATTTTTTTTTTAAATGGTCAGAATTTTTCAAAAAGTTCTATTTGACTTTTATTATTTTTAAATTGATTTTTTTTTCAATGGAAGTCAATGTTAAAAAAAAAAATTATAACAAGAGAATTAACAAAAAATATAAAATCATATAGGTTATTAAATTTTAGTTATGTATAAAACTTTTTACTGTTCATTTGTTTATTAGTTTATTTTATTTCTTTTTTGTTGTTTTTATTTTTAAATTAACATTATTTATCGGTTGTATTAAAGTTCATTTTTTTCCAAAGTTGCTTTATACAAGTTTTATACAAAAAATTGCTTTATACAAAAAATTTTTGTAATCATCTTAAAAACTAATCCAGGAAAAAAATGAGTTTAAAATGGTTTTCATTTTATAATTTATTTTATTTTTATATATCTATTTAAAATAAATTTTGAAAAAAAAAGCTTTTTTTTTTTTTTTTTTTTTTTTTAATTTAATTCACCTCCTCAAGGCCGAGAAGGCCACTACAGACGAGGAGGCTACTTATTTGTGGTTATAACCCTCTCTCAACTCTATAACTCCGAAACACAAACCTTGATGAACAAGGCCGCTGCGCGGAGAAACGAGTTGAGCGCGGTACTACCAGGGATGTGGTGGGGGTTGAACTCGGAACCACTCGTTTATGAAGCGAGCGCTCTACCACTACACCACTACCGCATTTAATTTTCAGTCTTTCTAATTAAAAAGCCAAATAGAATATATTGCATTTTAAAAAATATACAAAAACACTGCAGAAAATTAAAAAAAACAAAAAAAAAAAAAAGAAGAAGACTAACATTAAAATTCAAATAATTCTAATAAAGACATTGAGATATTGTTTTTTTAAGTGAACCATTTGACGTTAATGTTAATTCATTGTTTTGCAATGATTTACATTTAAACAACCTTCATAGTTGAATATGCTTTCTGTAATGACATCATAATGAATTTAAGACAATGAATACTTCAAGAGGAAAGGAGTTTTATAAATGAATATGGTTTGGAATTTATGCAGTCATAAAAGATAATGTAAAAATTATTAAGTAATGGATAACTTATAATAGTCATTTGCAACATGTTTGAAAATGGGAATATACTTATGTAAGAAATGTAAGAAATGTAAGTCCTACTTACTTTAGGAGATGCGCATATACAATATCAAATAATTATAAACTATACATTTTGTTGATGGATTATTTAAATTTTGTTTTGAAAATAAAAATGTTTTACTTTCATTAATACTGCAGGATTTAATGCAAACCTTCAGTATTTTTAGTTATTTTTGGTCAAGAAAATAATTATTTTGTTAATTAGTTTTTCTCATTTTTTAAAATTGCTGTAATGATATAGTTTTTAATTAATTTTAAATGAATAACTTCACACATGATTACTCTCAGATGTCAAATGAAAGCCACTAAATTTTTAGTTTTTTCCTCCACTCTCCTTTTTTGGACCATTTCCCACCTTATTTGGACCATTTCCCACCTGTTTATTATTTGTAGTTTTTTTTTATTTTGCTTCCTTTCCAAAAATGCTTTAATATCAATCAATATGTATACATTTGTTTTATTTTAAAAGTGCTGTATAAATATTGTTGATAAAATATATATATATATATATATATATATATATATTATATATATATATATATATATATATATATATATATATATATATATATATATATATATATATATATTATTACCATCTATTTATTTGGTGCCTGAAAATATTTATTTTTTTAAAATAATTTTTGCTTTTTAATTCTTTGAATACTTATATATAATATTTTTAATTAAGTTCATATTTAATTATTTATATAATTTCTTTTTGAATTGAAATCATGAAAAAGTTATTTGTTGAGCGTTAAAAGTTTAAAGACAATGGGTGAAGCATTATGACTGACCTATCACTGCTACGTAAGTTTTCTACTTTTTGCTTGTTTCTTGTTTTTATTTTTCCTTATTTTATATATTTTGCATATTTTCCACATTCTAAATGACAAGCTAAACAAGTTTTTATATTTATTCGTCCATGGCATTAAAATTTTAAAAAATGTTTTAGATAAGGTTCAATAAATAATAAACTAAATAAATAATAAGCTGAAAAACAAAACATTAACCTAAATAATGATAAAAAAAAAATTAACCTAAATTAACTAAATTAACCCAGTTTACTGCTATATATTCTTTTTTTTCCAGACATTTGATGATTTATTTCTTTTTATATTTTTTGGCTACTTTAAACCTTCTCAAGAGACTTGTGTGGATGCATACCTTATATGACCACACTTTTAATCTTTTGTTTTATATGTCCACACATTTTATTTTGACAACTTGGCCCAAGCACCTTGCATGTTTTAGTTAGTACGTTGAAAAATTGTGCTAAATAAACACACATGCAATTATAAACTTAAATTAAAAATATAAAAATATTAGTATTAACTGGATAGAAAAATAAAAACTTATAACTAAACTTAAACTAAAAATAATGAAATCTATGAATAAAATTAAAAAAATAAAAATCTATGAATATGAATAATAAAACAAATAAAAATAAAAAATATAACAGAAAAATTAAACCAGAAAAAATAAAAGCATAAAATTAATAAATATTTTTATTTTAATTTAAAAGTAATTTAATTTTATTTTTTAAAAAGTAATTTAATTTTAATTTAAAAGTAATTTAATTTTAATTTAAAAGTAATTTAATTTTAATTTTTCAGTACAAAGAATTTAGAAATATTGTTTAAAAGTTATTTAATTCAAGTTTAATTATTTATTAATTAAAAACTTAATTAGTTATCCATTACAGTTGCGCCTCATGAATGACACAGTTATTCAACCAAAGCGCTACATCAACGTGGTAATGCAGAAAAAATTATTAGCTTGAAACTATTATTTAAAATAATTTTAAATTAAATTGGTTAAGTCTGAACTATTAATTTAGACGCTTTTAAATTGAAAAATATATTAGTTTTATGCTTTTATTTTCTCTGGTTTATCCTTTATTTATTTTATTATTCGTTAAAGGGGTCCTAAACGGCCGACATGTTGTGTTCATATTAAAGAGAATGATAAAAATAAATATTTGGGGTAAATTTTTTTGATTAAAACAAAAGAATGCATTTATGGTATGCATTTGTACCAAGAAAAAGTAACTTTTATTTTAGTCTAAGCTTTCTCTGTTTTGTTGTAGGCCGAAAAGTTAGTATAATGTACGCCACATTCTACAGACTTGATGATTTATTTAAGCATGTTTAATTTCTAAGAGTTTCAGTACATGGTGTCATTGATTTTTTTTGTAAAAGATTAAGTAAACAAACAAAAATATCAATAATGTCATGTACTGAAACTCTTAGTAATAAAACACACTTGATTAAATTATCTGTAGATTGCAGCTTTTTGAAAAAGATTTTTTGTGTAAAAAATCGATTATTTAAACAAACAAAAAAATCAATGATGTCATGTATTGAAACTCTTAGGAATAAAAGCACTTGAATAAATTATCAACTCGGTAGATGCAGCATACATTATGCTGACTTTTTGGCCTACAACAAAACAGAGAATGTGAGCTTTGGGCAAAATAAAAAAGTTTTTCTTGGTATGCATTTATTCTTTTGTTTTAATCAAAAATATTTAGCCCAATCATATTTTTTTTATCATTCTTCTTATGAACACAATGTATCTTGGAGGTTTGGGATCCCTTTAATTCGTTTCTCTTTTCAGTTTATGGTCGCCTTATTTTTATTTTCATTTTAAATTTGAATAATAAATAATAAAATTGATGTAATTTTTTTGTGGGGTTTCTGGAAATTCGACAAGTTGTTGACAAGGGGGAGAGAGAGAGGGAAAAATTTCAAAAAAATTGTTGACTTAATTAATGGACAGCCCCTAGCTAACCGGACACAGAGCAAACTCCAAACATTTATATATTTATACTTATGTCAAATAAGAATATTTTCCAATAAATTGCCCCTCAATTTGAGTTAAATTGTATCAATAAAGCGAAAAGAAAGAGTGTAGCCATTTGGTTTAATATATAAAGTAAAGAAAAAGTTCTTTGTATATCTTAGGTTTTTAATATAAACAATATATTTAGGCTAAATAAACCTATCTATTTTTTGAATTTTAGCAAAAGAGAGCAAAAGAAGTCTGTACAAACTAATCAAACCCTAATACCATAATAAGGAATAAATTTCTGCAGTTTCGATTAAGGAACTAAAGTGTTCTAAATATATATAAATATGTCTTAAATAGAATAAAATGGTGCATTGAAAAATCTGAATTTATTTCCAATAGCAGTGCCATCTAATAAATTAAATTGTGGTTAAAAGTATAGTAAGTTGTCTGTTTGTGTTAATCAAATTCTAAAAGTTTTAAACTATTCCTTGGCTATTGTAAGAATTGGCTACTCTCCTTAGATTTATTTTTGAGTTGATTTGAATGGCAAGTTAATGCTAAAATATAAGTATAAGTTAATGCTTAAGTATACTTCAATTTTCTTTGTTGATACTTTTTTAGTTATTTCATGTTTTTATTTTTTGATAATTTTTTTTTTTTTTAACATCTTCACTTCAAACAAGGCTGGAAGCAACCACTATAAGAGTTGGAAGTTACTGGAAGAGAAAAGACTAAATCTGTAGAGCAAGATAACGATTGACTGATGACTTAAAAGATTGCAAATTATATGAATCAGGAAAGCAAGATGAAGGAAGCGAATTCCAAAGAACTGATGTTCGAGGAAAAAAACTAGAAGAATAAGAGTTTTTGAAGCACTTAGGAACAGTCACAGAAAAAGGATGAGACTTAATTGAATGGCGAGTAACACGAGAATGAATTTTAGTAGATGGCACAAGGGACGCTAGCTCTTTAGAGCAGTGCCCATTATAGTATTTGTAGAAAAGAGAAAGAGAAGCAACATTACGACGATGTGACAAAGGTTGGAGATTGGCTGCCAGAGCAGGTCCAACTATGTTTACAATTCGTTTTTGCACCTTGTCTAAAAGAGAAAGAGCATCATTAGAAGATCCACCCCAGATGTGACAATAGTATTCCATACAGAGATGGATTTGAGATTTATAGAGATAGAGAATAGAATCTGGAGTAAGAAAGTGTCGAGCTCGATAAAGAGATGCAACCTTAGCAGATGCTAATTTTGCAATGGATTTGATATACGGTTTAAAAGAAAGATCAGAAGTAAGAGTTAATCCTAGAAGATGAATGGTAGATGACTCATCTAGTACATTACCATTCATAAATATAGGAAGATCTAAATTATTACGATAACGATTGGCCAAATAAAATTGAGTTTTATCTAAATTAAAGTTCACCAGCCACTGTGAGCCCCATGCTGTAGCAGAAGTGAGGTCCTTTTCAAGCTCAGATACCCCCTCCAAGCAATCAGAGAGTGTAGACTTCTTATCATGACAAGAGTAAATGGTAGTGTCGTCAGCGAATAATGCCACCTTAGATGTGAGAATATCTGGAAGATCGTTAATGTAAATTAAAGAGTATAGGGCCAAAGATTGAACCTTGAGGAACCCCTGAAGTTACAGGATGTGAAGAAGAGTGTTGTCCATCGAGGACAACTTTTATACTACGATTATAAAAAGAAAGGACTCAATAATCTTAAAGATGTTACCAGCTACCCCATAAGAAGAAAGCTTATGGAGAAGACCAGCATGCCAAACTTTATCAAAAGCTTTAGAAATGTCAAGTGCGATAGCCTTAACCTCTCCACCTCTATCTAATGCACGGTAAAACCTATCGGTTATTACTGTTAGCACATCAGCTGTAGAACGAGAAGACCGAAATCCATATTGATGATCAGAAAGTAAGTTATTTGATTCAAGATGAGAGATTAAGTGTTTGTTGATTAAAGATTCAAAAACCTTGCTTATGACAGGAAGAAGACTAATGGGACGGTAGTTAGATGAATCAGATCGCTCTCCAGAATTTTTGAAAATAGGGATAACAGATGCTGCTTTCCAGCATGATGGAAAACAAGACTCTGATAAGCACTTGTTAAATAGTTTAGAAAGTATGGATGAAAGCTCCGGAGAACACCTCTGCAAGACTAAAACAGGAATGTTGTCAGGACCACAAGCTGTTGAAGAGTCTAAGCAGGAAATAACTTTAGATACAGAAGCTGAAGTGATGCGAATGTCAAGCAAGGGATCAACCTGTTTGATGGCTATGTCAGGTAAAACGCAACTAGTGGAATCAAGAGATGATATTGATGAAAAGTTCATAGCAAACAATTCAGCTTTGTCTTTAGGTGCGGTGACAAAGTCTGAACCATACAAGAGAGAAGGAATAACAGATTTGCCCTTATTATTGATACTGTTAAAGATTCTCCAGAAGTCTCGAGAGCCTAATTTTTGTGATGAGATACGAGATTTAATGACCTGGGAATAGCGAGCTTTCGCGTCAGACAAAACCTTTTTACAATGGTTTCTGGCGATAGTGAACAGATGTCTGTTTTCTGGAGAATTGTTTTGCTGATAGATATGGAAGTAACCGTTTCGATTAGAAATTGCTGCAGCGCAATGTGAGGAAAACCAAGGAGAAGAGTGAGGATCTGGAATCGTCGAGAGGGAATAAAAGATTCCATGCCAGCCTGAATCCACAAAGTTATGTAAGAAGCACGTTTGTCAGCAGGAAGACGAAAGATTTCTACCCAAGGGCCATCACGAAGAAAATCACGGAAAGAGTCCCAGTCAGCTTTAAGGTAGTTGTATGTGGTACAATGATAGGGGGATTCGGATGAAGTAGAAGAATTTGATAATAGTTTTAGAGAGATCAAACCGTGATCAGAAGTACCTAAGGGTGAATGTGGAGAAATTGAGCACTGACTAGGATCCAAAACAAGACATAAGTCGAGTAGAGAAGGTAAATGATTAGGGTTGTCTGGAAAA